AAATAATCAAGGAACGCACACATTCAGACTTAACGAGCGGACTTAACTAGCAATTTAAAGTTAACATGAGTCAGCACTTTCCCCCCCTTTTCCTCTCTTGTAGCCATGGAGGTTACACCGGTAAATCTAGAAGAATTAGACTTTGGGTCTTGTTGTTTCCGTTAAATGAACTTAACAGTGGTATTGTGGAGAATCTAACCGGTCTAACAATGTGCAGCAAGTCCATACTGACATATTGATCATACCTTTAAACATTAATAGCTTATTTGTATTAAGGATCTAAGCAGCTTAGAAGCAGGTAAAGCGGCGACCCCGCAGGGTTTAAGAGGTTTATACATCCAAAGAACTTCCACAAAAACCAGACCAGGCGTTTAATTAAGGCAGGCATTTATTTGTTAAAATGTGTCCCCACACCAGGCCAGTAAAGGAAGCAGGCGGCCGTTTGGGACTCGGCTGTTAATTGAAGTTTTACGGTAACACTATATTTCAAGCAGCCTTTAGAAGCAAACACAGAATAGAATGAATAATCAATTAAGCATTTGGCATATTATATACATTACATTACCTTATCTAGCCAAGGTGTAACTAATTGCAACAACTCATACCACACAATTTGTGTCCCACAAAAAGTGTCATTTACACTGTGGATACTGGGGACATGGCTCCATCACTTTTTTTAAAGCATTTGTTAAATGTGTTCTGAAAATGGCTTGCAACAAGAAATGTTTAAAAAAACAAATGAAAAAGGTTTATATGCACAATAAGAAAACATACAATGCAATTTAAAGGTAGAAGGAAGAAATGTGCATAGTCCAAAAAAGTTTCTTAAGCTAAAAAAACAAGCTGCTGAGTACTGCATTATATTCTTTCTATTATATTATTTGAATTGTCACCTGAATTACTTTATATAAATAAAGACAATTCTACCATAAATTGAATGTCTCCAGAATACAGGAAATTAAGTGTTTAGTGCTCAAACTTTTCTTGGTTGAGGACCTTAGAGACATTTTAACACATCAAATAGTGTTAAAATATCTTCTTGTCTTGTTCTCGTAAACCCAATATTTTGAATCGCGCATGTGAGCTAAGTGTATCGCCACACCCCTAATTTGAACCCTTATGTCCCCACCACTTTTCAACACAAAGTGACATCCTTCATTTTATCTTATTTTAAGTACAAACACACCCCAAAAAGCTATATTGTGTTAAATATGAATGTATTACAATAAAATGTTTTATTAAATTCACATAACTCCGTAAAAAAATTTCTCGGGCTTAAAATTCATACAGATTTTCCATTATACAGCAGTGAAGTTGGTGTTAAATTTATGGTATTAAAAAGGTCTTAAAAATTTCAAAATCAGCCATTTCAAAAGGTGGTGGGGACATGTCCAATGTAAATGACACCTATGGTTAAGGTTAGGAAAAGGTCATGGTTTGGGTTAAAATAAGTACGTATGTCAGTTAACATATAAGTTAACTAACGTTACTTGCCTAACTTAAATAAAAATATTTAATGTTGACTTTTTGTTTCACACAGGACACAAACACTGCTCTCCTGGTTCAAAGTCCAGGTTCTGGCCTCTCATCCACCCCAACCACCTCCTTACTCAGTCTAAAATATCATATCCCTTCCTTTACCCTCAAAAACTGACGCTGCAGGGCTTACCCCACTGCGTCGAACTATGCCGCTATAGGGATCCCCAGAGCGTTACAAACTGACGAAGATGGGTCTTGACCAAGCATCCATATGTGACTAGTCTGGGAGTGAGAACGGGTTGGCAATAATTGATTGTTTAGCTTTTTGGGTTGTCATTTTTTATAGCTTTATCGTTGCATCTATGCATCAATTTCATTTGACATGAAAGTGATTTAAAGTGGAAATAATCATTTAAATGCAGGTTTAACAGACAATGTAGCTGTATTTTTTTCATGAAACTTTACACGACTGATGGAGGACTCTCTTAGAGATATTAAGAACAGAGGATGCGTGTGGGCTCATAAAAAGTATTACCATTTCTTAAATTGTACAAATATAAGTCATTTGTTCCAAACATTAAAACCACAATACAATTATTTCAAGATAAGCATTAAATTAAGTTGAATTTGATAAACACATGGAAAGCATTTAAGCTGTTTAATTTGAGAATTTTCCATAGCATAATTTCTCATTTAGGCAATGAGCATTTGTTAAAATAGTACATTTTGCAATTTACAATTAAAAACCTGAGATGTAATTATATGTAAGAAATGCAACAAAAGTATTTTATAGGGTTTGGTTAGTTGTGATAATAACAAATGAGCAACTGAGCTAAGATTAAAGAAAAAAGAACTAATGCAAACACAAAATGAAACATTATGTAAAGTGCTTAAAATTATAAACAGATAAACAATATCAACATTTAACTTGAGAGTACACACTGTCCTCAGCAATGTCTCTCTTCTTTCTTCCTCTTGTTTTTTTCTCAGAGAAATTCAGTGCAGCATAGTTTAATTGGTTGTCAGCTTCAGTCTGTGCAGAAAATAAAATTATTATCATTATATATATTTATGTTACATATGCGTATACACACACACAGGCACACACATACACACACAAACACACACACACACACACACAGGTGCATCTAAAATCATGGAAAAGTTCATTTCTTTCTGTAATTTCATTCAAAAAGTGAAACTTTCACATGTTCTAGACTCATCATACATAAAGTGAAATATTTCAAGCCTTTTTTTGTTTTATCATGATTGATTATGGTTTACAGCTCATGTAAAGTGTCTCAGAATATTAATACAACCTGAGAAGAATCTAAATTAGCTCAAAACACCTGCAAAGGTTTCCTGAGTCTGGTTCACTATACACAACCACAATCATGCGGAAGACTTCTGACAGTTTTCCAAAATATCAGCATCTATCAGAGTCTGGAGGATGAGTGTAGAGGCACAGAATCCAAGTTGCTTGAAGTCCAGTGTGAAGTTTCCAGTCAGCAATGGTTTGGGGTGCCATGTCATCTGCTGGTGTTGGTCCACTGTGTTTTATCAAGCCCAGAGTGAATGTGGCCATCTACAAGGAGATTTTAGATCACTTCATGCTTCCACCTGCTGACAAGCTTTATAGAGATGCTGATTTCCTTTTCCAGCAGGACTTGGCACCTGCCCACAGTGCCAAAACGGTAACTAGTTGGCTGACCATGGTATTACTGTGCTTGATTGGCCAGCCAACGTGCCTGACCTGAACCCCCTAGAGAATCTATGTGGTATTCTCATAAGGAAAATGAGAGACACCAGACCCAACAGTGCAGATGAGCTGAAGGCCGCTAACAAAGCAAGTGGGCCGCAGAAATCAATGCAAACGGAGCCCTGACCACTTACTACATACTTTTCAGAAGGTCAACATTCTGTATTATAAAAATGTTTTATTTTATTTATTTATTTATTTAAATGCCCATGGCTGCCCGGCAGACTGGTGTGAGTATGAGGAGCTGGATATATTGTGCCAGACAGATTTTACTTTAACAAGAGAGTATTAATATACTCCTTTGTCTGTATTGTTATTTATTCAAATTTATTTGTCACTGGGCCAGACAGGGGCCAGACAGGGGGATGGGGAATAGAAACACCACATAAACAGACAGCACAGAGAGAAGGCAACACCTGCAAGAGAACGGGGATTGTGGGTAGGGACAACAGGAAATAGCAGAAGGAAACACCAATTGCCGAAAGCAACAAAACCTGCAAGAGAACAGGGAGGGGGGCTTGGGGCAGAGAAAAACAAACAACCAAACAACAAACACACAAACAAACAAAAACAAAGAGAAAACCAGCTGAACAGCAGCAATAAACAGATGACATAGGAAGACAATTGAGAGAGAAATGAAAACAAGAAAAAATATACAACACAGCACCACCGTGAGAGCTGAAATAATAACAATTAATTTAAATAAGTAACTGAATAAAAAACATCAAGAATAATTCTACCAGAGAGAACCTTTATTTGTGTGTGTGTCTATATGTGAGACTGTATGTGTCTGAGTGCGTGTGGGTGAGTGTGTCTGTATGTGTATGTGTGTGTATATGTTTGTGTACATAAGCCTGTTACAGAATGTAGTTCATAGTGAGAGTGGGATGACGCAATGCCGTCGGAAAGCAAAAGGCGGAACCCGCAGAAGAGCGGCACCCAGACCGACCGCGGAACAGGCAACCAAACTGCCAAAATTGTCACACTCTGCCTGTCTGCCATGCGGTGTTTTGCACTTTTGTGTTTAGTTAGCGTTATTTTGGTCTTTTGGGTTTTGGGGGTCTGTCTTGTCTTTCGTCTAGTGTTCAGTAACCCTTGTCATGTCTGTTACCCCAGTGATCCCTCTGCATGTCTGTCTCTGTTTTCCCCTGCTCTCTCTCTCTCTCTCTCTCTCCCTACCTGTGCCTCGTTAGCCTCATGTCTTTCACCTGTGTTGCTCCCCGCCCTGCTCGTTAGTCCCTGTATGTGTATATATACCTGGTGTTTCTGTCTTGTCTTTGTCGGGTCATTGTTTATTGTCACCCAGTGTTGCAGTTTGTTCTTGTGTCTCCAGCCTTACTCACTGTGTCTCCCTGTTACCCTGCTCAGTTTTGGATTCTGGTTTTCACCCTTTTGGATTTCTGTTGGACAGCCTTGGTTTTTGGACTCTGTCATCAGCCACTCAGTTTGTAAGTGTGCTTGCCTTTGTTTGTTTATTAAAACCCCCTGAACTGTACCTCCTTTGCCTTGCGTCCTGCATTTGGGTCCTCCAACCTGCTCAACCCTGCCTTCACCACCAAAATATCACGCAGTCATCAACATCAGCGCATAAGTGACGACACCAACCTGCACACCGCACAAGCACAGTGACACCCACCGCCGGCAGCCCCCGTGTATCCTGCACGCGAGGTTGAGCAAATGAGAGAAAGCAAGCGGCAGAACACAATGGCTAAAGCCAGCAAAGAAAACACCAGCAGCAAGTCCACGCTCGGCAGCAAGGGCCATGGTGCACCCGCCGATAAAAGTCCCGTCCCCCCCAACCGCCGGAAAAGCATGGGGCCACCAGCGCCAGCCCAACATCCCTCATACACAGCACACCCTCCGGCTGCCATGCAACGCCAACCAAACCAGCAACGATGCAACAACCAACCACCCCAGTCCCCCAGCCCGGCCGGAGCCCCCCCCCCCCAGAGTGCAGGCAGAGCCAGCAGCCCCTGAGCTCCGTAGACCCGAGGCCTGTCCCGGTCCCGGATGGGGGCCCAGCCCCCCCCAGTCAACCATCCGCAAAGGAAGAGGTCCAAAACCCACCCCGACAACACCGGCCATGTGCCCCAGGGATTCCCAAATGCCCCACTGTGAGAGCAAGTGTCAACCCCACCCAGCCCCAGGAAGGGTCCAAGGGGGGCCCCACACCTGACGCCCCCAACCTCCAACAAGCACGCAAGCCGCGACACACAGATGAGCCAACCAACATCACCCCGCTCCAAATCTAACCAATGCCACACAACAGCCATATAACACGCTGCACAGGGGAGATGCCAGCTGGCGCCAACCGCCACCCCTGCACCCCGCCAACACCACGGCACGTGACACATCCAAGAGCTGACCCACCTACCGGCCACACGGGACCCTGAGCAGCAAGGCCGTAAACACCCCCCCTACTTAAATTCTTTTTGGCCTTCCAGTTCATGAGGATAGTTTTCTTGGTGATGCATAAGGCAGTAAGAAGCATGTATGATGTGTCAACCTCTACACTAATGTCACTTAGGTCCCCCAGCATGCAGAGTGAAACTGGGACGGTGTAAATTCTAATATTTTAAGACACTATATTTTGATTTCAGTGAGCTCTAAGCTGTAATCAAGATAAAAAACTTTCATTAAAATATTTCACTTTAGTGTGTAATAAATCTAGAATATGTGAAAGTTTCACTTTTTGAATTAAATTATGCAAAAGCTTTTCCATACCACTTAATTTTTTGAGATGCACCTATATATAGTGACATAAATACATGGTTCCTTTCAAAGTATTTAAAGCAATTATAATAAAATGCATTTGGTATTATCACTTACAGTGTCATGTGCTGGTTGGCGTGAGTTGTCATGTTGTGCTTCTGAAACAGCGCTTTCCATTCCTAAAGATGAATATGATAATCAATACAGATCAAAAAATTCACTTAATATGACTCAGTAAGAGTACACTGGTATAAAGTACAAATCCAAAGACTGGAAATTAATTATTCAGATAAAATGTAGCGGCTGAGTTTAATGAGGTACACAAAAGAACAACAAGCACTAAGGAGACTTTTCTTTTCTTAGAATAGTATATTAATCAGCTTATTAAAACTAAACAAAAAGTCTGATCATTTTACTCTGGAACGTGTATTGTAAAGATCTATCTGATCTTGTACATAAAATGCATAAACACATTTAAATCTTATATGTCAAGAATTTTCATTTTTGCAACTATTTTCTTGCTCACAACACTCACCTTCATCTTGTTTGTGTACTTTTCGTTTGCAGATGAGGACAACATTTCCAGCAACAGAAATGACCAAGCAGACAATTAATATCGCCATTGCAATGAATATTGAATGTGTGTTTGCACTAGAAAACAAAGACAGTTATCAATCATGATGTCATCAGCATATTTTGAGAATTGCTGCCATTATTGAACACCAAGTCATACCAATTTCCACTTTAGTTTCCTTCTCCAAATTCGCATATTCTTGGAGAAGATGATAAACACAGCTTTTCTGAGAGTCAGATCTCTTGTCACATGCATCATATCCATTTCCATAAGTGTAGATGATGTCTGGATGAGATTTATCTGATCCGGCTCTGAACCAGTACACACTGTGACTCCTGGACACGTCTTGTGGTCATAGTCAGAGAGGACTGAACACTGGAGAGTCATCGAGTCTCCTGGACGGTCTGGATCAGATACTGTCTGCCCCAGAATGACAGTATAGTTTGATGTCCTCTGAGTGTTTCCTGTGTGATACAAAACTGTTAAAAATGTTACATACTTAATCACAGTTTAACACTTTGTAAAAGTAGAACACACTGTTACCTTTTACTAACATATGTACCACTCCATTCAGGATCAATCCACGCTGTTATTGCACAGTGATACATTCCCTCATCCTCTTGAATTGTCCTCAGAATGGTTAGGTTGCTAAAATTCTTGTCAGTGTTTACCTTAAATCTTGATTCAGAAAATGTAGGTGTATACTGAGGTTGTTTCCACAGTGTCATAATTAATTTCACCGTATCTCCGGCATGCTGCTTGTACCAGTGGAGCTTTCTATTGCTCAACTCTTCACCAGGCAAAACACATGTTAAGGTCGCTGATTCACCAAGTTGAACAGTGGTCACTGGAACCAACGTATCTGAATAAAATGAAACATACAATATATAATATAACAGTGTATGATGTGGAAATATTATGATGTAAGAAGGGGCATGTCCATACCCAGTCGGCATGTACATTCTTAATAATAAACAACACTTACTTCCTTGATGAAGAACAAACAGTGTAACCCATAACAGGATCATCTTGACATTGTCTCTTGTTAAGAAACTTGTTGGTATTTCAGTGAGTGAAGGAGGTGAGATGGTCGTGATACATCAGACCATCAGATGCATCTCATTGGTTATCACAGAATATGCAAAGTGCACTTCCTGTCACATTGGTCTCATCCTGGTCTTTGTGCATATACCTCTCTTTCATCCTTTATAACGTTGAGATTGTTTACTTTTGACTTTTGAACACACTGATTTTTTCTTTGTGCTTGGATAAAGAAAAAAAGAATATTATTGTATTGTATAATGTATAATTCATTATACATTAAATAAAAATATATGTTAATTTCATGGTATAGGCTACTGTTATATTTTAGTTTAGCACTAGCATAGGCCTAATATTAATTCCATTTACAGCAGTTTCAGTTTTGTGGTTGTTTTTATTCATGAAATCCTGCAAGAAACAGTCTACCTTGGTCTCTAATTTATAATGCTAAGTACCAACTTGTAAGAATCAGATGTGAGTGAAGTACTCTGAAGAGCCCTGCATCATCAATCCTGGATTCCTCGCTCTGTTGTTCTTCTTTTTCTTGTTTTATTGGCAGGTCCCGTTGACTTTCTGTGACTAGGTGCATTCGAGATGACTGCGCTGACTTTCACCGACTTGATATTCTAATGTGAGCTGCTGATGACTGCAGGGGTGGGGAATAAAACAGCGCTGTCAAGTGTGAGCTGACTGTGAGCTGAGATCAATGACTGATCCCACGGGAATTTACAAAGAAAATTACCAGTCAAGAGTGTGCAGCCGCCTTGCTCCCGCGAGGTTTTAATGTCATGTGACATGGTGACATTTTTCAGAGCTGGCGAAAGTTGGACAGAATTTCTAACCAGCATGCCTTATGTTAAGTCCTGCATGCATTATGTTAAGTCAGCGTTGCACAGTGCCGCATGAAGTCAAATGCACCTACTGTTACTGCTAATGTTTTATATACTCCCACCTGCTTTAGAGATGGAGGGGAATGTAGCAAACATTTCAAATACGCCAGGGTGCATGAAGTGTGTCCTTCAGAGGAGATGAAAGCCAGGCTGAACCAATGCTCCCTCCCCAGACAAAGGGATGAAATTACAGTTTATCTTAAGGGTGGCATGAACGTGTGTAACAAATTTCATGAGGATGCTAGAAGAAAAGTCAGAGTATCACCAACAATATATGATTCATCCTCTTGGTATCTGGCTTTCACCAAATTTCAAAATAATCCATTTCACAGCTGTCAAGAAATTTCAGTAAAAGCCAAAAATGTCAACCTGCTGGTGGCCCTAGAGGAAAAGTTACGGTATCACCAAAGTCAGTAGCAAATAAAAAGACGGAAGAGAGGAAGGAGGTGTGACAGGAAGAAGGGTAAAAATACCAAAAGACTAAAGAAAAGAGCACAGAAAACAGCTGTGTGAGTCAAGTAAAGAAACAGTAATTGAGCCATCAAAGTAGAGAAGTCTAGTCAGTAAACCTTGATGAAAGCTCTTTTGAGGTTGTGTGGACTGCAGACTGTATTATTATCAGTAGCAGTGCTCACAGACCAGAATGAAAACATTGTTGTGGTTTTGATAACTGTAGCAGTAGAAGTACTGTGTTAATTGCAGTAGTAGTGCTCACAGACGCCCATTGGCCCCTGTCACGGAAGAGTTTGATATGTTGTGATGGACCAAGCAGTTAGGCAAGTTTGGCCCGTAAAAGAGGTAAAATAAACAGACCAAACTGAAAAATAAACTGAAGCTCTGAACATAACAAACTCAAAAATACAACTGACCTACTACAAGAGAAACAAAAGGGACTTCTATATACCGGTTGATCAAACCAGTTTTCGTCACCCTTTAAAGCCAGCAAACTGTAAGGATCCTTCCAGGGTGTGGAATCCCCAACACTGGTAAACTCAAAAGAAAGTGGTTATAAAAACAGAAGGACAATCCAAAACTAACTAATTGTGCACGCTCCAAAAAGATAACCTTTGTACTGTCATCTAAATAAAGTATAATGTATGTGAAACAAACCAAGTGTCCTGTATGATATTTTTACCTAAATAAATGTTTGCAACAAATGTATGTATATGTGTCTGAAAAAGTAAATAAACCAATCCTAAGGAAAAATAACAGCATAAACTAAGGAAAAGTGTAAGTGTATGAGGTTATCGCTTTTAAGAGGGCTGTGTGGCCATCACATGTTATGCAGAAAATGCACTGGTTTAAGTCATGAGTTAGATGATGTCTCTCAGGCCCTGTCTCATGCTCTCACACCACCCAAACATTCTTACGCCATTCATACAGTAAAGTAGTTATAACACAAACACTTTTTTTTTCATATTATTATATTTTAAAAATGTTTCACATGTTTTTTGACAGGTACAAATAAATGATACATTGCTTCATCAAGTATACAATAGATGCCATGCATACAAGTTTCTAGCCATGACTAATTTGCAACCCCTGTCCCTGGTTAGGCTTTTAAAGTTATAACAGAAATAAGTGTTGAGTTTAAAATACTACAACCATGAAATGAAAACATCCAGTACACGCAATAAAGATATAGTTCTAGAACAAAACTGGACCCAGATAAAACCATGGTCTCATTTGATGTGATTACCTTGTTCACATGCATTCCCACCATTGAGGCAGTAGAAACAGAAAGGACACAACTGCTAAGACAACACCCTGAACAACAGAAGTAGCCTCAGCCTGAACCAGATCTGTAAACTTACTAGACCTCTGCCTAAACACCACCTATTTCCAGTACAATGGAGGATTCTACAGACAGAAGTATTGCTATGTCATGGGCTCACTAGTAGCCATGACTCCTTCAGAGGAAGAGCACCGAGCCACTGGTACAGGTATGTGGACACACAT